TGGGATACTTACGAATAAATCGAATAAATTCTGCTCAAATCCATTGTGGATTTGGCTTGGATTATTTCCGTTGACAAAAAATGTTTGCAATGAATGTGATGTTTGAGAATGAGCCTGCAGTTCGGAATCTGGATTGCTTACTAAAAAGGCTTAAAAATGCTGCAGATGTTACACAACACCTCTTTTGTCGAGTAGCATGATGGGATACTCACTTGAACTCTGATGTATCTGCCCTAGTAGACGATGCTCAGTTGCATGGACCCGATGGATGGTCTGACTCAACCACCCTACATTATTGCTTAGCAAGATGAAGCAGTGTGTTTGCTTTATGAGATGGGGCAACAAACTTGTAGAAATAGTCTAGATCTGAAACATCCTTTCACAATAACTTACATTTCAAAAGATACTTCTAACTATGGAATGGATTTGTTAATTTTTTTGAAATTGCTGGGTGGAGGAAGATGAAGACGAGGATGAAGAAGAGAGCATACACAAGGGAGTCCACCAAATTGGCCTTTGTAACATCAGCTGAGTGGCTGTTGAGGTACAGAAGTGTGTGCAGAATTTGGTGTGTGCCTTTTTAGCTCTCAAGAGCCTTCTCTGAATGATCTACGCACAGAAGCCTGTAAAGAGTTCATTTTATCTCAGAAGGGTAAAAGGCTGAGTCAGTTCCACTGGGATATGACCTTGTGTGGCCCTAGCTACTTAGACTGAATCTCCCATCTGTTCTGCTAATTAATTGCTTCTCTCTATGGAGTGTGTTGCTAAAGCTGTTGCTCTTGCAGAACACGGACTGGTCTTTCTGGTGCCAGAGGTCATGAGTTTGATTCCTCCTGAGGGGTGGGGTGGGGGGCATACAGATACTGGTGACTGTACATTAGGTCACCCTAAATCTGGAGGCTCGGGAAGAGGGAAATGCTATAAAAACAAACAACAAAGCTAGTGAGAATTCTTCTTTTGTTTCAAGTGCTTGCGGCCTTTCATTTTGGGATTCATGGACCCAGGTGCGAGTCTGGCCCGGGATAGACTCTGGTGGCCAATTAGTGGGCAGTGTTGTTTGACACTGATTCTGTCCTAATTGAAGTTGTACGGTTTTCTTGCAATGCTGCAATTACACAGGTTTTAGTTAATCATGGAGATAGACTTTGCCACCAGAGAGCAAAGGGCCTGACGGGATTCACTTACCGTATTTTCTGCTCTATAAGACGCACCGGACCACAAGACGCACCTAGTTTTTGGAGGAGGAAAACAAGAAAAAAAATATTCTGAATCTCAGAAGCCAGAACAGCAAGAGGGATCGCTGCGCAGTGAAAGCAGCAATCCCTCTTGCTGTTCTGGCTTCTGGGATAGCTGTGCAGCCTGCATTCACCCCATAAGACGCACACACATTTCCCCTTGCTTTTTAGGAGGGAAAAAGTGAGTCTTATAGAGCAAAAAATACGGTAATTTCTCTGCATGTGAAGTTTTTTAAATTAAGTTTTCCAAAATTTCACACAGGCATTTCGATACATAACAAAAACCTTTTCCCGACTTCCCACCCCATTTTCCATGGTGTTTTTGTTTCTTTCCCAGTACTGCTCCCCATCTTCTACCTCTTAAACCTTAACAAAACTATTAGAATCTTTAATCCATTCTGTTGCTCATAGCTCAAATCCTGATCACGTGTTAGTCCTATAATATTTCTTTAAATAATCTGAAAAGGGTTTCATTCTTCCACAAAACTTTCATTATTAGTTCTCTCTTATTTTAGCAATTAATTCTGCCAATTCTGCATAATCCATCACCTTACTTATCCATTCTTCTTTAGGAATTTCTGCTTCTTTCCATTTTTGTGCATAGAGTCCGAGCTGCAGTTGTAACATACATAAACAACTTAGGGTAGATCTACATACAGGAAAAACCCCCACTATAAATAAGTCAGAAATTAAATCATTATAACTAAAGGGAAAAAACGCTATGGAAAATTGCTTACTTTTTTGTGTGCTCTCCAGTGCCATCTGGTGTTACATGTTTATAACTCATTGAAAACACTGTTTTTTGACTAATGCAGCTGAGTCCTTAATCATCTTGTTTGGAACTTCTGTCCCTTTAATCCCTGAAAGAAAAGCTTCAGGTTTCTGATGGGATTCACTTCATCTGTGGTCATCTAATCAAGTGGGGAGAGGGAAACCTTGTCAGATACAGCTCCTGTTTTATCAAGAGCACAGAAACAATCACAACGAGTTATATCAGTACTCTGTCAAGACCAGCATCTCCTTTGCAGCAGCAGCTTCTGCCAGATGGTCATGAGGGCATTTGCCAAGAAACAGGCTTCTGTATTGCTTAGTTCAAGCATCTGGATTGTGTCCCAAATCTTATATAAATCACCTGCCGTGGAGTGTTCTGTACTGGGTACCTAGTAAATATGAACAGTTTATTGGTACTCCTGAAGACACTTATTCCAGAAACGTGTTATTTATTTATTACATTTATGAACTGCCTCCTATGGAGCATCTTAAAACAATTTCACGACAAAGAGTAAGGACAATAAAAACATCCACAGTGAAGCATACATAAACCATTGAAGATATTTCATAGACCAAAACGATGTCAAATTCAACACATACTAACTGTGATAAAAACCTTCACTTAGAAAGGTCTTCAGTAGGCGCCACAAAGACAACACAGATGATGCCTGTCTGATAATCTAGTGGGAGTGAGTTCCAAAGGGTAGATGCCGTCACACTAAAGGCCGCTTTTCATTTATATATTGCCTTTCCTCAGAAGATAGGGTGGTATCTGCAGGAGGCCCTCCCCTTATAGAACACAATGATCGGCTGGCTATATAAAAGGTGACATATCATTTCAGATATGCTGGCACTTGTCGTGAACCAAAAGGGCAATGGAGAGGAGGAAGAGGATCCCGGTGAGGGGTGGGTGTAGCCGGGACTGGGACACACTGGGGCAAGCTGGGGATGAGGAAGGAGAGGTTGGTGTAGGAAGTACTCATGGGGTGGTGGGGGTCAGTGCACAGGAACAAGAGCAGCAGGACCCATCACCAGAGCCAGAGGGACCCCTGCCTCCACAAACGTGGTGGGCTCTGGGGCGTAGGGAGCAGTAGGCAGGGTATTCCAGGAGGCTGAGACAGGCTGAGACAGCCCATCTCCCTAGCCTGCCAGGTGTGGCTCGCTAGCTCTGGGTGGTGATTCCTCAGCTGGAGTAGGCTCACCACAGGTGAGGGTCACCTGCCTCATCAAGCCCAGAAGCTGCAACCAACAGGCAAAGGACAAACTGGAAGCAGAGCTGAGGTGCTGTGTTGGCTCAACTGCCCATGTTGATGGACCTTGGCTTGGATACTTCTAGATCTCCACAGGATTGCTTTGGGTTTGACTCTGGACTGTATCCTGACTGCTGGACTTTGGACTTGGCTACTTGGCTACCTCCCTTCCTGACCTTCAGGCTTTTTACTTCTCTTGTGTGGATCGACCATCGGACTTTGAATTTGGCGCTTTGACCTTAGCCTAGTTCATGGCTACCTATGATTTCGAAGTGTCTAATCATTGGAATAAGAGACAAGAATTTGAACTTCGTCACCATATACAGTGAGTTTTCTACCCTTTAACCCGTTGCTTGGATTACATATTTGTTCCCCCTTTCACTACCCTGATCAATATGAAGTGCAACAATAATTAAATAAGGAGCTGAGAATTAACCCCCAATACCTAATGGGGGTTTTACTTTTATGCACATATAATTTTGAATTGAAAGGCATGGACCGAGCACGTAGGCTGTGTTCTGCTTGGCACATCATCCAGCTGTAAAATGAAGCCAGATCCTGCTGCTCTCAGGTACCTGTGGCATTAAATGAGGTCACATCACTGGATTTTACAACCAGAGGCATTTGCCAGGGCAGGTGAGGGAAGGATTAGGCCCCTCCTTTCACCTGTAAATTGTTCCCTCAAAATGCTTTCTGGCTATTTGCTTTAAGAGAGAAAGATGAAACTGGAGCCAAGGTGTTTTCCTTATAATGTCTCATTTCCCTCTTTCCTGAAAGTTGAGGTGATTTCCGGGGGACGTGGTCTATTTCAGGGGTAGGCAACCTAAGGCCTGGGGGCTGGATGCAGCCCAATCGCCTTCTCAATCCGGCCTGTGGATGGTCCTTGAATCAGCGTGTTTTTACATGAGTAGAATGTGTCCTTTTATATAGATGCATCTCTGGGTTATTTGTGGGGCCTGCCTGGTGTTTTTACATGAGTAGAATGTGTGCTTTTATTTAAAATGCATCTCTGGGTTATTTGTGGGGCATAGAAATTCGTTCATCCTCCCCCCCCCCATATAGTCCAGCCCACCACATGGTCTAAGGGAAGGTGGACTGGCCCATGCCTGAAAAAGATTGCTGACCCCTGGTCTATTTTGAGTAGTGATGTGTGCTTTAAACACACACACCCCTGAGAGAGCAAGAGCCCTTGTTACATTTAGAAATCTAGTTTGTTGTGATTATTTCTGTGATGAAATGGAAGGTATTCTACTTCAGGCAGAGTATGCAGATGGTCTGTGATTAAGCGATCTAGTGAGCTAAAAGCTTTCAAAACAGGCAGATTCCCTGAAGGACTAGGAATGGAGGCAGTTTAATTGAATTCAAATTACCATGACCAATAGATTTTGTGTGTTAACCAAGCTAAGCAGGTGTCCACATTACGCTGTGGTCGTAGCAACAGATTCTGATCTATCTCTTTATCTACAGAGAGAGCGAGAAAGCCCAACGGAGATTGCTTATGGCACTTTCCTCACAAGTCTCTCAGTGGCCGAAATTACTGATTTGAGCTTCTCCATTTCAGGAAGATGGAGGGAGGAGTCTAAAAACAACAACAAAAAGCATAATTTTGTCTGTCCTGGGAAATACTTGGCAGTTCTTTGGAATGTTGACTGCAGCTACTGCTCTCCCCCCCTTTTGTTATAAATATTTACTGCAAATTCCTTAATTCTGCTACAAGAGAGAGAACACAGCATGGGGTGGCATTCAATGAAGTTTTACTCAGAGTAGACCCATTGAAATTAATGGACATGACTAAGGTAGGCCCATTAATTTCAATAGATCTATTCTGAGTAAAACTTTATTAGATGCCACCCACTATGTGTTAGTTTATCAGAATTTATTCTTCCAAAACATTGTGATCTAAGGCTTATGTTGAATATAAGGGTCACCAGACATGTAACCCTCGTGAAGCCTTGAATAAGAAGTTGATTTCACTGATATGCCAATCGTTCACATCACATGAAATAATTATTCTGAAGGTGGAGCAATCTCCTTCCTGCAGTAGTAATTTTTGCTGCTGCAAGACAGTTCATTACCATGCTAACAAGTGCAGTTTCCATCTACCATAATATATTTTGAAAGGCAGGTTATATTGCAGTGAGTGCAGCTGTGTTATTGTAACCAAAATCTAATCCCTAGATTGGCAGCGTCTCACGAGTAGACCATGGACACACTAAATAACAGTTGGCTGTTCTGAGCACATGGAAAAACAAGTCCCTGCCGCCTGCCAAAGGAGGGGTTTAAAAGCAGCTTTGTCCAGAGAAAGTGCTCCAGACTCGTGACTGGGGGACTAATACCTTCTGCCTGTGGGCTTGTTTCCGCAAATCAGTTAAGCATGCTCACAATCTCGGGGTGTTTGCACATTTCCTATTCAACACGCCAGTGAAGTGTGGCAATGGAACAGAAAAACACCAGACAGTTTTAGGTAGGGTCAGTGCCTTTACTGATAGCAGAAAGCAGCCCCACAGCTTATAGGTTACATACAGTTGTAATACACAGCGAATGCTCGGGTTGCGAACGTGATCCGTGCGGGATGCACGTTCGCAACCCGCAGTGTTCGCAACCTGCATCTGCGCGCGCATGGGTTGCAATCCAGTGCTTCTGCGCATGCGCAAAGCACGATTCGGCGCTTCTGCGCATGCACGACCGCCGAAACCCAGAAGTAACCCGTTACGGTACTTCCAGGTTTCGGCGGTCCGCAGCCCGAAAAAATGCAACCTGAAGCGGCTGTAACCTGAGGTATGACAGTACATTCCTTCCAGCGGCGTACTAGCAGGGTTCCAACACAGACTAGACTCTAGCCAAGGGCCGGGGTCAAGAGCAAACTTGCTTCAGACTTAAGATTGTGCTGAGTCACTCTCACATGTTTGCTGACGCCCTCTCACATGCTTAACTAGTAGCAGGTGCAGGACAAACACACTCAAAATTAACCAGCACACCCCTTTTATCTGCATGCACAAACCCTTATACATCAAAAAAAGTGTTTATGGTACAGTGGTGCCCCGCGAGACGAATGCCTCGCAAGATGAAAAACCCGCTAGACGAAAGGGTTTTCCGTTTTTCGATGCGCTTTGCAGGACGAATTTCCCTATGGGCTTGCTTCGCAAGACGAAAATGTCTTGCGAGTCTTGAGATTTTTTTCGCTCCCCCCCCTTTTTCTAAGCCGCTAAGCCGCTAATAGCCTTTTAGCCGCTAAGCCGCTAAGCCTTTAATAGCCGCTAAACCGCTAATAGCGCTAATCCGCTAAGCTGCTAATAGGGTTGCTTCGCAAGACGAAAAAACCGCTAGACGAAGAGACTCGCGGAACGGAGTAATTTCGTCTTGCGAGGCACCACTGTATTCAATAACATATGGATGGTGATGGACGCATGCTTTCTGCTATGAAACTTCGAACATGCCTGCTTCTTTGCACCTGATCAGCTCGAAGGTTTGCAGATAAACAGTTCAATCAAAAGCGGCAAAAGTCCCCTGGGCACTTTTCCTCCAAAGGCAAAACACTCTGCGAAGGTTGCTCAGAGGTTTCTACCACTGCCTGAGGAATAGGAAGCATGAGAGTTTACACAGAATAGGCACTCTTCATCTTATGGCTGTTGAATTCCCTTTGACTGGTAGGCAGGCCACCTACCTACCTGCTGAGCCCCTGTAAAATATGTAGGAACTGTTTGCATCACCTGGATGCCAACTATAGCTTGGCACTTGGAGAGAGAAACAATAAGGCAACCCGGAGAGTCTATCCATTTTTGTCAGCCTGTTAAAATAAACACAGAGCATTTATTCAGTGGAGTTTACTGTATGTCACAGTTCACTGTTGGCTCCTCTTACTGGCAGTTTGCATTTCTTAGTGCAGAAAGTATTGATCTGATGTGCAGTGATCTTTCCTGTTCTGCTTAGATCAAGAGGGTTCTGGAAGGTTTCTTTCTGTGTGAAAGAAACCAGCAGAAGGTTTCTGATGTTTGGGTTATTCTTTCTGGGAAGCTGACTACAGCTGGTCTAAACTGGTTCTGTTATCTCTTTCTATCAAGGTAATGCTGGCTATAATAGTAAGGCCAGAAGGAGCCTGGGTCTTCACACTTGCTCTTTCTATCTCTTTGCTCTGGTGTGATGTTCTGTATTGCTTAGTGTTAAGGTTTTAGTCTTATTATAAGTTACTGTAAGTTTAAGTTAGGGACGTGGGTGGCGCTGTGGGTTAAACCACAGAGCCTAGGACTTGCCAATCAGAAGGTCGGTGGTTCGAATCCCCGCGACGGGGTGAGCTCCTGTTGTTCGGTCCCAGATCCTGCCAACCTAGCAGTTCGAAAGCACGTCATAGTGCAAGTAGATAAATAGGTACCGCTCCGGCGGGAAGGTAAACGGTGTTTCTGTGCGCTGCTCTGGTTTGCCAGAAGTACCTTAGTCATGCTGGCCACATGACCTGGAAGCTGTCTGCAGACAAACACCAGCTCCCTCAGCCAATAAAGTGAGATGAGCGCCGCAACCCCTGAGTCGGCAACGACTGGACTTAATGGTCAGGGGTCCCTTTACCTTTAAGTTTAAGTTAAGTTTGCTGCAACTTATAGACAGTGCCAATCCTGAATGTATTGGATTTGTGACCATTATGCTCATTTGCCTTCAGTAGCACTAAAGCTCTGCTGGATGAAATACAATGGCCTCTGGTCCACTGTTTGGGAATCTTGCAACGTGTTTAAGTTTTTCCTCCGCATGACAATAACACACTTCAGTGGAGCCAGCATTTATTTATTTATTAAATTTCTATACCACCCTTCACACATGAAGCAACAGCAAAATAATCTTTTTGATTACGAGATATCTCTGTTCTAGGTGCTTCGTACTAAAACATGCACCGCCTCAAACTCCTCAGACTGACCCTATGCATTGGTATGCAGGCTGAGACCCTATCTGCCTGCAGACTGCCTCGCCAGAGTGGTGCATGCTCTGGTTATCTCCCGCTTGGACTACTGCAATGCACTCTACGTGCATTTGAAGGTGACCCGGAAACTACAACTAATCCAGAATGCGGCAGCCAGACTGGTGACTGGGAGCAGCCGCCGAGACCATATAACACCAGTCTTGAAAGACCTACATTGGCTCCCAGTACGTTTCTGAGCACAATTCAAAGTGTTGGTGCTGACCTTTAAAGCCCTAAATGGCCTTGGTCCAGTATATCTGAAGGAGCGTCTCCACCCCCATCATTCTACCCGGACACTGAGGTCCAGCGCCGAGGGCCTTCTGGCAGTTCCCTCACTGCGAGAAGCTGAGTTACAGGGAACCAGGCAGAGGGCCTTCTCGGTAGTGGCACCTGCCCTGTGGAACGCCCTCCCACCAGATGTCAAAGAGAACAACAACTACCAGACTTTTAGAAGCTTTTAATGTTTGATGTATTACAGTATTTTAATATTTTTTTGGAAGCCGCCCAGAGTGGCTGGGGAAGCCCAGCCAGATGGGCGGGGTATAAATAATAATAATAATAATAATAATAATAATAATAATATAAATAAATAACAAATAAATAACAAAACAATCTTCAATAGAAATACAGATAAAATTGGCAAATGTGAAAAAAATAAGTATATATGTTTCTGGATGGACTTGTTGAAATATAAACATTTTGGCATGCGTAGTGAAGGTGCCTGCCTAATATTATTATTTTTTATAAGATATTTATTAGGATTTTTAAAATATTACAATAAAAAATGAAAAAGAAAAAAAGATACAAAATAAAAATGATTAAAAACACTCAGATTTTCTATTGCTTATTTTTCCTTAGCTTGTTTCCCGGACCTCCTCATACCTCCCTTTTTTGTATTCCAGTTCAGTTTGTTGGTTCAGCAAATCCTTACCCTCTTTATTTATCCTAATCTTTAGTCTTAAAATAGTAACTTTAGATTTTTATCTCTTAACAACCCATTTTTCATATTCCCTTAAAGCATTACAGCTGGAAACCACTTAATTTCTATCCAACATCGTTCTAACATTCATTAATTTTACAATATTTCTGTAGATAATCTTTGAACTTCTTCCAATCTTCTTCCACCGACTCTTCTCCCTGGTCTCGGATTCTGCCAGTCATTTCTGCCAATTCCATATAGTCCATCAGCTTCATCTGCCATTCTTCCAGAGTGGGTAAATCTTGTGTCTTCCAGTACTTTGCGATGAGTATTCTTGCTGCTGTTGTGGCATACATAAAAAAAGTTCTATCCTTCTTTGGCACCAATTGGCCGACTATGCCCAGGAGAAAGGCCTCTGGTTTCTTCAGGAAGGTATATTTAAATACCTTTTTCAGTTCATTATATATCATTTCCCAGAAAGCCTTAATCCTTGGGCACGTCCACCAAAGGTGAAAGAATGTACCTTCAGTTTCTTTACATTTCCAACATTTGTTATCGGGCAAATGATAAATTTTTGCAAGCTTGACTGGGGTCATGTACCACCTGTATATCATTTTCATAATATTCTCTCTTAAGGCATTACATGCCGTAAACTTCATACCTGTGGTCCATAACTGTTCCCAGTCAGCCATCATTATGTTATGTCCAACATCTTGTGCCCATTTAATCATAGCAGATTTCACCGTTTCATCCTGAGTATTCCATTTCAACAGCAAGTTATACATCTTTGACAAAATCTTAGTTTTGGGTTCTAATAGTTCTGTTTCTAATTTTGATTTTTCCACCTGGAAAGGTCCCTGCCTAATATTAACTTTCCTTTCATGAACCTCCTTGAGTTAGCTTACCTTAAGATCCACGCCAATGTTCACCATATCAATGTGGAGTATTGGTCATCTTGTGGGCATCTTTATAAGGAATT